ATTAAAAAATTTTTTGATTCATATCTTATTAAAAACTATTATAATTTTTCAACCTGTGTTTAAATTACTAAATTTGGTTTTCTTTCGGATTAAATTTGTGCAGTTTCATGTTTAACAATACGTTTTTATGCATAATTTAGTCTATCGCTAATGAAATTTGCATATTCAGGATATACTGAAATATCAATTACCACAAAATTTCGAAAATATTCAGGCCTTTTTTACATTTTTTATTGCATATGACCGCTATCTATCACTTTTTACCGGTTACTGTCCACACCATCACTCTGTTGCTTCAATAATTATCATTTTATCACTCCCATATATTATCTCTGCAATATTTATTGATGTACGGATTCTACGATTATTTATCAATGCAACTTCTATTATCATTTTGTGGTACTGAAGTATAATTTGTATTTACTTAATTACTTGATATTTTTTTCTATAGGATATCTTTTTTGATAAGTTTCTGATGCATGCAATATAATTATTTTTTATGCATAATTATTTCTTTATCAGTTTTTCAAATTGCTTTATAGCTTATCACAATTTGAGTACTTTATACATCACAATTAGTTTTATATTTTGAATTACTTTAATAACAGTATTGGATTTTTAATTACAATTTTTTAAAATTTTGAATATTACTTTATGTATTTGATTTATTAACTCATCATTTTTGTACTTCAAATTAAATTATTAATAGAATACTTAATAAGATGCATTTTTAGTCTCACAATATTTTTGTCATTCCCGTTGCTATCATTTCTATTAACAATATGCGCGTTGATAAGACAATTTCAAGTATTTATTTCATTTCGAAAGGAAAATCGATCTTTAACAGTGGCTTTATTAATAATTATCATATTGCAACTGATTAAAAAGTCGGGATTAACCTTTGAACTCATTGAAGAAAATTTTGATATTGTTTTTGTTACTGGAAACTCCGAATGTGATTCTCAACTGAGAACTTTCTTTTGCAATTGGTATGAGGTTGGTGATTTGATTCTTCTAAAATGACTCATTCCAAATATTTATATGAAATGAATCAAAATGTACAGTGACTGAGAATGCATGAATCTGAACTAATTTCTTTGCAAACTTCCAAATCAAATAGATGAAATATTTTTGTAAGTTCACAATTACAGTACTGATAGTTACTTGCAATAGAACAAATTTGAATGATTTTCTACAATTTGAATGATTTCAAAAATGATCGTAGTATAATAATTTTAGTTGATTTTCTACAATTTGAATGATGTCAGAATGCTTAAATGAATTGAAAACTTTCAGAAAGATGTCAAATTCAGAAGTTACAGATTAATTAGTATTGTTGTGAATATTACTTCAAAAATACTTATTCATTAAATTACAGAAAAAAATTTATTTTCGGGAAATATTGTTGCTAAATTTTGAAAAAATTAATCAAAAAAAAATTTTTTTTGCATATTCTTATTTTAGCTATGTCATAGACTTACCTTACTTATGCCGATATTATCTGCCCTGATTTTGCTCTTACTTGTTAAAACTTATCGACAACAGCTTTTGCAACATTTTCGATACTTTTTACAATGGCTTCGTTTTGGTAAAACAGACAATACTGTTGATTATAACGCAGAAACGATGAGTTCAATCATTGCCGAACAAGCACGTCAACGCCGTTTACGTAAATATGCACCAAATTTGGAAGTGTTTTAAAAATCTCTCGTTGTTTTATGCATTTTCATAAAGTTATTCTTATTTTATAAAGTGCCAATTAATAATAATTTTCAATTAAAGCATTTGCAAGTCCAAAACTGTGCTACTTTTCTCTCTATTATTAATGCTAAGATCTAATTTTAATAATATAGACTGAAACGAATACTTCACTAGTACATCAGATATTTATGTCCATTGAAGAAGTACTGTACTGACTTCGATGCGAATCTGATACGTATATTACAGATTCATATTTCTGTTTGTTCAGTAGTTTGTCACATCATACTTTACTCATATTTCATACTTTTTATACTCGTTAAAAAAAGTTGACTGAGTGCAAAATCACTTCTACTGAAAAAGCGCTAATTTGTGTAAGGAAATTTGCGTCATTGTTTAGTAAAAGTGATTTTGGATTTTATATTTGATCAAGTCAAATTGAAAATTCATCTCACAATGCTAATTATAAGCTAACTTATCCAGCAATCTTGTATTTATTTGTGATATAATTACTCGTGTCATTATTCCAAGCAACGATTTTATGATATGAAGTTAGTTAATAGACGGATATGAAGTAAAATAAAAAATTAATAATTGTATTGTACATCCAAGCTTCTTGAAGTTCTTTTCAGATATGACCTCTGATGAATTAGTGCATTAGTTTTTACTTCTCAATCAATTTTATAATATACAGTAAAGCAATTTGAAAATGCAACAAGTAAAATTATCACTTAAAACTGTTTACTGTAATACTTAATTACCTCACATTTATTATGAAGCAAATTTCATTTGAATATTGGGTAGCTTTGTTTTGATTAACTTTAATCTAAGAATAAACCATCAGTTATTCTGTTAAGATTTTATTTGCGATACAAATTCGCAAACAATAATGACAAAAATATTTACTGCAAGTATATCGTAATAAGTAAAGAGTATAATGATAATCAGTACACATTTCAATCAGTTTGACTAATTCAGTAGTTAATTATTAGTTTTTCCACTAACCTAGCAAGTGTCTAATCCAATCCTACAAAGTTCATATG